CTCTGGGGTTAATGGGTGTAACAAAACGTCTATTCCTGTTCTTGGTATAGAGCCTGTCACGAATTCTATTATCAATATCAATGAGGTAATCGATAAGGTCCTCTAAGGCAATAGGAAGCTCCTTAGCTGCTACCTCATCCAATATCGTATCTGACAAACCTTCCATAAAGGCAGTAGTTAACCCATTGTTGGTCCAATCTACCTGCGAAGCAAGAGTGCGAAACTGAATAGCATAATCAGCCACAGACCTAGAACCCTGTTTAATTCTCATTAATGCTCTCGCGGCATTCTTTGACCTTTTCATTGTGTCAAAAGTTCTACGAAAAGCCGTAAGAAAACTGTTGAAATCATGTACCATAGGTCCATTAGCTTCCCAAATAGGATTTGCCCACTCAAGTGCCTTATCGGTAAGTTGGTGCATAAAGAACCCAACCTTAGACCTCTCTGTGGGAAATGAATGTGGATACATTTCGAAGTGAAATTCAATCTGATTAATAAACCCTCTGCAAGTCTTAGAGTCCCCTCCATACCTAGGAGGAGGTGTTAAATGGGCCGAAGTATTAGGCAAAGTAGATACTTCAGGGAGAAGGGGCGTAGGAGGGTTAGGTGTGGTTGCTGGAACGGTTCTAGCTAGGAGCGTCTGGAGAGCCTGAGCTATCTGATCCATACGGTGATCCTGCTCTACAAATCTTGCCTCATGGGACGCCATCTGTTGAGCTAAATCTGCGGGGTCCATGGCCCTATCGTAATGTAACGAGAATATACCCCTACACGCAGGATCCAGCTAAACAGAGGCAAATACAGAGGAGAGATACGTCTACCGGACCTTAGAATGGCCGGACTCGACGTATATGAGAGGAGACAGAGCCAAGAACAAACCGAGGTCAAGGGCACAGAGAGACAGCGTAAACTAGGACAAGCCGGGGTCTGGTACACGGAAAACAGCAAGCCAGCAAACAGTACAGATAAGGATAAAGCGAAAACGAAGTCAGAATACGAAGCCAAAGTCAATACGAGAAAACACAACTGAACACCACAAGCGCTAAAGGGAACTGAAACAGAAACCACGATAGGGCAACGAGCTAAGGGAAAAAGGTAAGTTTAAATAGCTTTTAAACGAAAGTGATTGGCTCCTGTCACTTCCACACCCCCTATAGGTAATTGTACAGGGAGTGTGGTATGACAGGAGCCAATGGGAGCCTTTTGGCAATTAGGCTCCCACTGTCTCTTTAAGAGCGCGCCCGAGACTCGCGGCGCGCTCTTAGTTTCAGGCGGGACACGTGACCGCTCCACGCGGTCACTGCCCGCCTTCCATCTGAAGCAGTCGGATGAGCCGCGCGCGGCTCGTGCAGCCGCAGGACCGCGCGCGGCTTGAAGAGAGGACCGCGACCGGCCCCCGGTTAAGGTAAGTAACGCTACAGAAATCAGTATGTGTAAATAAACTACATTTAAGGGACATTATAGTCACCAAAAAAACTTTAGCAAAATTAAGCAGTTTTGATTTATAGCTCATTCCTCTAAAGTTTCACTGCTCAATTCTCTGCCATTTAGGAGTTAAATAACTTTGTTTATGCAGTCCTCTTCACACCTCTCTGCACTTGACTTACATAGCCTTCCTAAACACTACCTGCAAAGTGAGATCTAATGTTTAAACTTCCTTTTTTGTACAGTCAGTTTCATTTACCATTTATTATCCTCTGCAATGTTAATAGCATGCTACACCCTACACGAGTCTCCTGTCTGTGATTAAAGTTCAATTTACAGAGCAGGAGATAAAAACGTCTAAAGTAAATTAACATCAGATTGAAAATGAAACAATTTTTCTTTTACAGGCTGTGTCTTGTGTCAGTCACAGCTAAAGGGGATGTTGCTAGAGCAGCATAAATAGAAATAATAGTGATTTAACTCCTAAATGGCAGAAAATTGAGCAGCAAGACTTCAGATGCATGATCTATACACCATACCTGCTTCATTTAGCAAATGTTTTGGTGACTATAGTGTCTCTTTAAGTTGTATAAATTGTAATTAGTAAGTCGTATAAAATTTCTCAGATCAGGCCCAGCCCTGGCCACACCTCCACTCACACTGCTAAATGAAAAGTGTCTCTCTTTATCCATTTTAACTTATGGGAGGTATGAGTAGTTACAGCTCATTAACCTGAGTTTTGCCATTCAGATTTCAGTTTACTCCATTTTAGAGTTTAGTGGATATATATCAGACAGAATATCTGATCATGTTTATTTATTAAAGTGAGAACTCAAAGTGAATTGCAAATGTAATGTCAAAACAGCCTAACAATAAAATTCACATCATCTGACCTTGAATTTGAAATTCACTTTGAATTTAGGCATCTGGTTTTAATGTAGTGGCTGATCAGTGTACACACACTGGCTAATATGCGTCTCTCGCATTCTTTCTCTGGAGAGTGCCTGGGACACAACCATGCTCATGAATGATTGGCAGCCCAGAAAATTGTCTCACACACACAAAAAAACACAGCCAGATTAAGATAAGGGCAATAAGAGTTGCAATGCAAAACATGACCTACATAATCCGCTGACTTGTGTAACAACAAATGGCCTCGACTCCCCCTACTTCCCACTAAAAAGGGGGATGCAACAGGGCTGCTCACTTTCCCCGCTATTATTCAATTTAGCAATTGATCCTTTACTACGAGCCATAGAAACCCTTTGTGGTTTCAGGGGATTTCCAATGGGTAACATCACCTTGAAAGTCTCAGCCTTTGCTGATGACCTCTTGCTCTTCACCACTGATCCGCCGAACTCTCTGCCTCCCTTAGTTGACCTGCTGGACTCATTCCATGCCATAACAGGTCTCAAAAATAACTGGAACAAATCTTATGGCCTTCATCTGGGAAGCAGCTGACCTCCGCCGTTGCCGGGTGGAATCCTTTTGAAATGGGAATCACAGGCACCCAAATACCTAGGAATCAAAATTCGTAAAAACATCTCCCTCCTATACAAACTGAACATACCTCCCATCTTGGCTAACATTTTCTTAGAGCTTGAACATTGGCATCACTTACACTTCTCCTACATAGGAAGAGCAAATCTATACAAATGAATTAGCTTTCCCAAACTACTATAACCACTTTAAGTCCTCCCATTGCTACTCTCAAAACAGGATTAAACTCTGCCAAATAAGAAGCTTAGATGATTTTTATGGCAGGGACGCAAACCACACCTTAGCCTTACAAATCTATACCAATACACCGCTCAAGGAGGACTAAACTTGCCAAATGCAACTTAGACATGCAAATGTAACTTAGACATGCACTGGATTGGATCAAATCCCAGCATAGGTTTTTGGACTTGCCGTTGGAGTCCTTCCTGGCGGAGCCGGACTCACTGCCTGCTCTCCTGCACAGGCCACCCTACCTCCTCCCAAATAAAATCATCACGAACCCGCTTATACACACCCCAATCAGGGCCTTGGAACAATCTCTATCTAAGATGGGAGCTCACCCTTTAAAATCACTGCACATGCCTCTCACTCGCAACACTAACTTTGCCCCGGCTACTGACTATCCCTTCCCATTGTGAGCAGACTAGGGTGTCATGGATCTCTGCCCCTTAGTAGACCACATGTTTTTTACACTGGCGGAAATACGGGAGCGATTCCCGGGTCTTCCAACCCCATGGTTTGCATACCTCCAGGTGCGGCACTACTACCACTCTGTCATTCAAACTTTCACAGAAGCAGATTGGGAGAACCCATTAGACACCATGCTGCGCTCCTCGAAAAATTATGATTTTTCTGTTTGGAGATAATTGACTTGATACAGTAATTAACTCAATTATCTCCTGAGCAGAGGGGAGGGATTGCGTGTAATGTATGGGAGTGACTTATTACCCGACTTTGTGTTTACTGGTTGCTGTATATTTTTACTGGTGCCCCACAAGATCCACCTGGGTGGTAACCTTTGGGGCAAAACCTGCATAAAAGGGCAGCCTGGCCATTAAAGATTCAGTTCTGCTCCTAATACTGAGTGTCGTCCAGTTATTGGTAAGGGTGATGGGATATTCGTGGATTATCGTGTACTTATGCCTGCTGTCTTGAAGTTCCCTGTTTGTTCCTGAGCAGTTGTTGGAGTACCTAGCAGAGAAGAAGCCCTGCTACCTCTGCTCTCCGCTACACCCACACTACCATTGACCCCGGAGTTCTTTCTTTTGGGACCTATCCCGAGTCAACCCCTAACTAATAAACGATTCCTCCTCATAATAGCAGCTATTGGACGCAAGGCCATTTTGCAGGTCTGGAACCAGCCGAACGCTCCCACGCTACAATTATTTTTACCTAAACTCAAATTTCTTTTCAAAATGGATTGGTTGGCAGCACTAACCAACAAAGAAATTCTTGCCAGGAAATTTATCCTGACCTGGAGATCGTATCTCCTTACTTTGGATGACTTCTTTAAAACCAAAGTGAGGAATGCCTTAGAGTAGAAGTGGTGGCCGGTCGAGACCTTTTACAAATAACATCTCGTTAAACAAGGTAGCTGAAAATAGAAGCATACAATGTTGAATTGGGAGGTTGGGGGTTGGGGGGACTGAACCGGCACACAGTTCAGTTAGTTTGGTTATTTTTATTTTTAAGATATATGTCCAGTCCACCACTTCCCACGACATATAAAGTTAAAACTTTACCATATTGAAGGCCACGCTGTCTAACCTCACATTACTAACCAATGACCCCTAACCAGGCAGAACTACTTATAATACGGTCTGATGTTGTTATGGGCAAATGCAAATATTACAAGTTTTAGAATGAAATATTGTATTTCTTAAACTGTGTACTTTGTCTTTAAGAGATATTGCAAACTGACAAGGTGTTAGAAATGGAACATATTGTTTTTCATAGATGTTTCTTTAAGCAATAACCTCAGTGCATATTATGTTTGCGCCATTTTGTCCCAGACGAATTACAATAACAATAATGCATAAAAAAGCTTCAAGGCTATCCTATGACTCTTTCAGTACACAATATACTGTGGTAACCCTAAGTAGATAAGGATGTTTAGACTTTAAGATGCCATCTTGAACTAAGTCAGGAAAATTTCCATGACGTATGCACCCTTTAGTTATGGCCTTGTATGTTTGCCAAATTAAGGGAGGTCTTAAAATGAATAAAGTAAAAGAAGTGTTACTTTTTCATATATGAACTACGGTAACCCTAAAATGGAGACACCTAAGGTATAAATAGGTGCACTTTTAAATGTTAAGAAACAGAGGGGAGACTTGGAGACAGACGCTGCTCCAAATTTAAATGACAGAGAGGCTAACATGATGACATGTTCAAAAGGGTATGTTAACCTATTAATGATATTTGCAAGCATTTAATTTAATCTTTTAAAATCTGCTCTAATGGATTTTATATGTCTATATTTATATTATATAATAAATATCTAAAAAGACAAAACTTTATTGCTTCCAAGACAATCCTTATTTTAGATTGTATTCTCAATTATTTATATATGTTAAATAGAGGATCCCTTACTAACTATATAAAATTATGGCTAAGATATCTGTATGGTTAGCCCTGCTAAGTTCTATGCTTTAAGTTATAGTGGTAAATAAGGGAACCAGCTGCGGTTACAATGTGACACATTGTTGCAGATAGCGATGAGGCAGCAATGCCTACATCAACTGAACATTAACTAACCAAGGGAACTGGACGTAACTGTTGCCTCTGCTTAGTTGTTTTTGGTTCTGATTTTTTTTTCTTTTTTAATTTTCTGTTCTGGTTTTTTACCTATGCAAATAAAAAAAGAGAAAAAACAGCGGACGTACAGTTTAGCATTTCTAACTTTTAGCGTGTAACTTCAATGAAAGTCCTATTAACAACAACTTTTTTTTTGGTATTAAGTGGTACAAGTACTAAGTCATGAATTTCATATAACATGGTATTCCAACATACAATTAGCTTGCACTTCCTGCTTAATTGTTGCCACTCCGTTAGTAGGGACTTCTTCACTCGCAACTTTATTTTAGCTCATTTTGTTACTAACATGCAAAAATGTGCTGCTGTTCTATATGCCATGGTGTGCTTACCTGTTTATACTACACTTAATATCGCTGCTGTGGCGTACTTAGCATATCTGTAATTTAATTCAAAAAAATTGTGCCGTTTCTCTAAATGTCATGACCATATTTAATACCGTTTGTTATTGCTGTGCTTGTTACTGCTTTTGTGGCTACACAAGCTAACTTTGTAATCATTTGCACAACAAAAATAAAGAATATAGAAGAGAAAGGGGAGAAAAAATGTCATGTCTCTAAATGTCATGACCATATTTAATACCGTTTGTTATTGCTGTGCTTGTTACTGCTTTTGTGGCTACACAAGCTAACTTTGTAATCATTTGCACAACAAAAATAAAGAATATAGAAGAGAAAGGGGAGAAAAAGCAAAGAAAGAAAAGACAAGAGAAAGGCCTGTGCCACCCCTCTAGAAATAGCTCTTAATACAAAGTAATACCCAGCAATATAGACTTTGTCTAAACTGCTAATTTTGTGGGATAATGAACAAGTGACCAGACAACGTATAAAATTAATTCAACAAGCTATTGAAGTCTTGCTTTATTTCAAGTGTCAGGTTAAACCTACATTGATTTTGTAATATAGCTAAGTTGGGTCTATCCAAAGTCTTTGGGCCGCATCTCAATACTAAGTGCCCAACACATTTCCCAACACAAGGAAATTTAACTCACACTTTGGATGGCATTGCACCTAGTCATGATATTCCCAATGTACTCATTCTAATCATAGTGTCTGGCACTTAAAGGGACACTATAGTCACCTGAACAACTTTAGCTTAATGAAGCAATTTTGGTGTATAGAACATGCCCCTGCAGCCTCACTGCTCAATCCTCTGCCATTTAGGAGTTAAATCCCTTTGTTTATGAACCCTAGTCACACCTGCCTGCATGTGACTTGCACAGCCTTCCATAAACACTTCCTGTAAAGAGATCCCTATTTAGGCTTTCTTTATTACAAGTTCTGTTTAATTAAGATTTTCTTATCCCCTGCTATGTTAATAGCTTGCTAGACCCTGCAAGAGCCTCCTGTATGTGATTAAAGTTCAATTTAGAGATTGAGATACAATTATTTAAGGTAAATTGCATCTGTTTGAAAGTGAAACCAGTTGTTTTTTCCATGCAGGCTCTGTCAATCATAGCCAGGGGAGGTGTGGCTAGGGCTGTATAAACAGAAACAAAGTGATTTAACTCCTAAATGACAGTGAATTGAGCAGTGAAATTGCAGGGGAATGATCTATACACTAAAACTGCTTTATTTAGCTAAAGTAATTTAGATGACTATAGTGTCCCTTTAAAATCTCTGTTAAAATGTTGTCTATTTTTTTTTGCCAACGATGGAAACATGCTTTTTTTATTTTTTCTTTGTTTTTTGAGATCCTACTGACCTTTGATACTACTATACTGTCTGAAAATTATTCATGGCCATGTTATACTTGACAAACTTGTGTTATGTTTTACTTATGTTGTATTGTTAAATGCAAAAAAGTGAAAGTGAATGCTTCATGTACACTCTTGACTCTGTATCTGTTCCATGACAAACTTCCTGCAGCTGAAACTATGCTTGACGTGTTGTATGCAACATTCACAATAAAAAAGCAAAACAAAACATGACCTACGTTAAAATTACATAACTTTAATTATACACATTATAAAAAGTCAAGGGATGTTATCCTGTGTAGTAAGTGTTCTATATGAACACTTTATTTTCATTATTAGTTAAAAAATAGTTTTCAAGTTCTTTGTGAGATGCTGAAGTTGCTACATTTTTATTGTACTTCTACAGTGTTACCTACTCACCCTTTGCAATTATTATTGCTGAAATTTGAATGTTTTGCATCGCCATCATTAATGAAATATTGCTAACTGTTAACATGTTTCAGTTACATGTTGAATATGCAATATTAATTTCCCTTTTAGTATTTTTTTTATTAATAGATTCAGTCACTGCATATTACTCAGCCTATCCTTTGAGTGGAAGCTGACATTGTGTCTGTGTGCACAGTTTCAAAGACAGATGTGTGACAATGTAGTTGCACGTGTGGGAGAATCAAGGCGCCATGTGGGCCAGCGGTAGTCTTGATATATGTCACACACACAGTCCCTAACAGCTACACTGATAATCAAAATCTAACCAATGTTTTTAGACCCCTCAACCACAGGCTTATGAAGCCCTTAATCCAGCACTGACAAAACATTGCACAAAACTGTGAAAGGTGCTGTGAATAGACCAGTAGCAGCCATGTTATGACTGTTGTCAACCAGTTGAGCAGTTCCACTCATCAGATCTGATAAGTGGAATTGGGAGACCGAATTACATATCCCATAAACACTGGCTAGATGTGAGTATATAGGGGATACTGTAGTTTCTGATAACCTTTTACAGTTCTATTACCTTTTTAAGTGTTAGACTTTGAGAATGGGCTGATGGTGGAAAACAGATAGAGAAAGAAAGCAAGATAATTGTAATTTAATTGTAATTGTAATACACCTACTTGATCTCATGCCAGCTCTCTCTACTTCATTTGTACAAATATATTTCTAATTGACAATTAAATTCCTTTTCTATTGTTGGCTGATGAATCTTTACTTGCAAACATGACTAGAATAAACCCCTAGGGAATTGTTATTTCAGACTGAGAAGCTCTATACACTTAACAACAGAGAGAAAATCTGAGTGCATTTATAGCAGAAATTTAGAAGAAAAAAATATCCAAAAGAATCACAATCATAATCTAACATTCTTATACAAATGGTACAACAGCAATATCCTATATGTTTAATTTAAATTCAGGGTTTGGTTAGAAATATGACCTACAAAAAAAAAAAAATATATATATATATATGTATTAAGGCAGTTTTGCCTGTATTTGTGGGAGGGGCTTAAATTAATTCACTCCTCTATATAAGGGACACCCCTTACCTGACTCATATCGCTTGAGGTCAGCATCAGAATGACCCTCCCACCCACTCCTCATTTCAACACTTTCTCTTTTCTTTCCATTTACTTTACTTTCTTACTCCTTGGTGGGCCCTCTTTATTTACAGGCCTACCGTATCGTCGGTATCGGCACACCACAACCGACTTGCTCCCTTTATACTATCCTAAGCTTATGCTGGATCCTTACTCCATATACGGCTATTTTGCCCCTTACACAAATATATATATAGTGTGAAGACTCATGACACATGATAAGATTTTAGCGAAGTTAGATTGTTGAGAATTTCATTATATAACTATAACCTTGAGCAGCTGGTTGTTAGGGTGATAACCAATGCACAGAGACACACACTGGCATAGACAGGCAGACACATGCATATATACACACACCATTATAAAGGACATACCTGTACCTTATAAGTTGTCTAATTGTAGACATTTACATCACGAATTCAAGTGCCCCCATCCAAACTAATAAAAATAGTATTTTTTTAAATATGAAAAAGTGTTGTATATACACACATAAAGAGTGTGTGTGTATATTGTGTGTGAATGTGTAGGTGTGTGTAAGTGTCTGCGTGCCTATCTGCGTGTATGAATTTCTAAGTATGTCAGTTAGTGGATAGTGTGTTGTGTATGTACATTGTGTGTAGCAGTGTGTGCACTTTAAAAATGAAAGAAATTAAAGGAGCTACTATTTCTCCACAATGCTGGGATAACATGCAAAGACATTAAAGGGATACTATAGGCACCAAAACAACTTTAGCTTAATGAAAGTTTGGGTTTTAGATCATGCTCCTGCAGGCTAATTACCTATAGTATCCCTTTGATAATAAACAAAAAGGGAAGTAAGGAGGAAGAGAATGGGTTTACCACTTAATTATAATAATATACCCCTATTTATATTGAGTGTTTAGTCTATTAACCCCTTAAGGATACAGCTACAGAAGCTTGTCTTACCCTTAAGGACACAAGCAATTTTTGCATTTTTGCACTTTGTGTTCAACTGCAATTTGCATCTCTCGCATTTATTGTACCAGCACATATTACATACCATTTATTAGACGACAAAAAGGGCTTTAATGTGATGTAACATATACATATATAAATTCTCATTTATTTAAAAAAAAAAGCAAAATAATGGGGAAGAAAACTAAAAAAATAATTTTTCCAAGTTTTGGCAATAATAATGTGTGCATAATATGTCAAACTTAGGGAAAATAATTCAAAATAAATTAATTTATGTGTCTTGATTTACAGAGTAAATAATATGTGTAGGATTTCAGTTTCATTTGAAAGTTACAGGTCACAAACTACAAGGACTAAAATAAAATTTCAATGTGAAACAATTTT